CCCCCACCCGGGCCTCGGGGGGGAAAGCCCCGTGGACGCCCCAGCCAGCCCTATGCCCCACAGCTGCGGGAGATAGGGAGGACGCTGGGGGTGAGGGGAAACAGCTGGGGAGGAGAAGCTGGAGCCGTGGACGAGCACAGGTGTGGGTGCTCTGGAGGGGCGGGGGCGGCACCTTCCCCAGGTATAAAGTCAGTAGAAGCAGAAGCAGAGGGGAGGACGAGGAGGAGGACGCTGGAGGAAGAGACTGAGAGACACGAGGAGGCAGCGGGACCAGCCGGCTGGTAAGCGGACGAGCAAGGGCGTGAGGAAGCAGCCCAGGGCGGGTGTACTGGAGCCCGAGGGTTGATGCGTTGCGGCTCTGTGCCCCATCAGCCAGGTCGGGGGAGAGAAGAGCATTTCCCCCGCCTTAGGGCCCTGGGCTGGGGTCTGGAGAGAGGGAGGGCCCGGACCCCCCTCACCTCCTCGCTCGTGGGACCTTCTGGGCAACCGCCGGAAGGGCCGACCCGGCGCCGCGTCACGGAGACTGGGACCTTCCGGGGCGGCAACCGTGGTAGTGTGACTGCCCAGGGCGGGGTGGGCCTGTGGACCCCGTAACAGGGCCTAATACCCAACTCACAGAGGGGGCTGATGTTGTTTGAAGAGTGCTCTGAGATCCTTGAACTGAAAGCATTAGCAGGCAGAAAGCACTATTATAATTAGATACCTAGTGGGCTTCTGCTATACCGGGAGGCGCCTCCTGAGGAATAAGTGGGCTGGAACACACTTCCCAGCTGATGTGCAATTACTTGATTTACGTCCCTGAAGGAGATCTTTTTAATATTCATTAGCTGAGCACAGATCTTGTGGATGGCATCATTTTCATGAACAAGGAGAGCGTCTGACGACTGGTACAGGTGTGAGAGGGTCAGAACTGAGTTGTAGTTTTGAACAATCACCTGGAAGTGAAAATGCACATCAGCAAGGGTGAATTAACAATAAAGAATTGTTGTCTACGTAACTTAACCCTCACCCCGGAACTTCATCTCTTCTGATATTCTTCAGGGAGTGGCTGAGTTCACCCTTTACCAAGCTCCTGCACCCAATTCAGAAACCATTTTAGCCTCCACTTGGACAGTGAACAAAGCCTGTCTTGATCTTATCATCCACAGCTGCATTCCTAGCAAGACACTGAGAACAAAACTGTATGATCATCCTCTTTTATTATACTTGCCATGTAATGAATTGGATCTTTGTTTTAATTCCCTGATGTACCACAGATTTCCCATGTGACCTAGGGCAGGTCACTTAAGGCAGCTCTCCCCTACAACATTTTGCTGACATAGCTATATCAATACAAGATATGGGGGGAAAAATTCACATCCCCTGATCTGACATAGCTATGCCAGAAAACATCTCTTTCCCCTGACCCTTCCCCTAGGGCCTCTTGTCTGCATAGCTGATGCCATGTATAGAGGTGGTTTAACTATACTGACAAAAGATCTCATTATACTGGTATGACAGTGTCTCCACTACAGTTGAATTGATAAAGCCATTCTAGTACCTGCTAGCCCACAGTTTCTCTGTGCCTCAGTTTTCATCTGTAAAATAGGTATAATGGTACCTCTGTATTTCACTAAGGTGTAACTGAATACATCGAGAAGAATTGTGATGTGCTCACATACTATGGCAAAAGGGGCCTTACAAGTACTAAGATAGCCTCAGGTGCTAGTAAAATAAATCTCATAGTTGACATAGTCAGGGCTTGTAGCTTTACAAACACATTTGAAAGTCCCACAGCAACTGACTACAGCCGAACAATGAAACTACTATACATAAAGTGATACCACATACACAAAGTAAATAAACTGTAAATAGAGACAACTGTCTCCCTTTCTCCAGTATCTTTCAGTTATAGGCATTTTAGGTGTAATTTGTCATCAAGTCTAGGATGCTTTTTTTTTGGTTTGCTTTATAAATTGAAAATTTTGCAGAACTCTCATAGAGCTTGGACATTCACCTCACCAGTTCCGTATGGCCAGATGACCTGGTTGAGTATAAATGAAGTTGGGAAAGCATCTCTTAAGCACTGGGTTACAAAGGCTCCCATGCCTGATCCTGTACCACCAGCCAGGCTCATGACTGTGAAAAATCCACTGAGTCGGTCACACTTCTCTGCTTCCTTCTGCACGAGGTTCATGATAACTTCTCTGTACCTGGGCCCATGAACAGAGTAACTACAGCATGAGAGAGAAAGTGGAAAGAACTCTTACCTTATGGCAAAACAAAAGCAATAAAATCAACTACACAAACATACAAAGCTATTTCCTTCTTTTAAAAATGCCCATCCATTTCTATAACCCTTCCTATCACCAGTGCTGCTTCTAGTGAACAATACTCAGTTCCTCCGATGTGCCGTTTATTTTGCATTAAGGGCCTGATCAAATTAGCCTGCCATTCTGCACCCACAAATCAAGTAGTTTTGGTGACATTTTGTTCATTTTTCACTGTTTTGTAATGGGGTTGTAAGTCTTCACTGTAACTACCAATCTCCGTTCCTTGCAAAAAGAGAAGCAGACCACAATGGCAATAATATCAGGATAATGTTATGAATGCAGTATATTACTTCACAGTTGCAACGGTTCTGCTTCTAAGGGAGGATGGCTGTGAATCTAGTCAGTTTCTTAGTATTATTAGCAAAAATAGTGGTGATCATTCATACCCATTTGCCCAGTTGTTTCCAGACCCCTGTTTCTGACAGAAGTGTGACTGATGGTCATATTTCCAGTGGCCAGACTTAGCAGCCATTGATAGGGTCTGACTGATTACTTTAGGTTCCATGTCAACAAGTACAGCCCGGGCAACAGGTACTGGAGAGAGAGGAAAAAAATGCAGAAATCAAGAAGAATGCATTATACTTAAGCCTTTTAACAAAACACTGTTCAGATACTAGGTATAAAACACCACAGCTCCTTTCTACCTCTTGGGTTCGTGATCATGTTTTTGAGACTGCCAGTCCCATGAATGCGTTTGATGATTAGACTTGGCTGCAGTCTCCAGAAAGCAGGTAACATATGCTTGCTTTACCAGGTCAAACTCCTCTTCTGAGTAAGCAAGCTCTAAGGCTACATCTACACTGCGGCTTAGGCATAAGGATCTTGTGCAAACTGGGGGTTTTGCACAAAAAAACCCTGTCCACACTGCTTGTTTTTGTGCAAAAACGGTTTGAATAAATTATGCAAATAAAGCTTGGCACTATGCTAATCTGTGCTTCATTTGCATAGGCTCTTGTGGCAAAAGCGCCAGTGTAGACAAAGCCTAAGAGAAATCCTAAGAGCAATATTACACTTTTCTTATGCATGAAAGGAAAAAAACAAAACATTTCACATCTGTAAAAGGCCTTTGTTAGTTCTCCTGAACATATGATGCCAATCAAAAGGCATCTAATGAGAAAAACAAATAATTTGGTTACTGGAAGAAAAAGAGAGGTTGGCTTGGTATTAAGGCAGGTTCAGGACAGCAGAGTTCTGTTCCAGCTCTGCCACTGACTAGAAAAGTCACTTTCCTGCTCAGTGTCTACTTTGCCATTGGTTATATGCTGACGACAATTCATATGGGATATGGAGCTGAGAGGGTGAATTCATGAACATACCTTTAAAGCACATCCTTTAATAGAAATGCAAAGTACTATTTGTAATTACATATATTTCTAACAGGCTGAGTTCCAGCCCCAATGGTTGTGGAAAAAAATCCTTAAAAATTGTACCCCCCGTTTTCTCCTCGCTGAAGAAACGTTCCTTGGAAGCTTCCTGGTAGGATTCATTCTCCTTCTTGGAACACAGTCCATGTGCGCTGTGGAAGTCACTGCAGATAGCATTAAACACCTCATAACCAATTTGGTTACCACATTGACCAAGCTGTACTGTGACTATTGACATTCTCCTTCACTATGGATTAAATCCTAAAAAGAAAAATAATATACAATTGTGCTTTTTATAGCGGTTGATTAAGTGAGTCAGAATGGAAGGCTTTGGACCAGTTTCATAACCCATGAAAAGCATACTTGGGCAGTGAAATTTATCCTTGTACAGAGAGCAACCATGTGGTTTTCCAGACTAGTTAAGCCCTGCAGGTATGTGGAGTTAGTGGCTGGAACTCCTCTGAAGGGTCTGTGACCATCATTTGGTACTGAGAGTGGCTACTGTGGGGTAGGGATGTAAGCAACTAGTTGACTATCTGATAAGCACATGCCTCTTGGATAGTCAACTAGTAACTCAACTAATTGTTTCCTCCCCTTGGGTCTCTATCAGAGAGAAGCAGCAAGGGGGGGGAGCAGGAGCCCATGCTGGGGGAAGCCAGCTTAAACACCAGTTCCCCTTAACACTGTCTCCATGGGAGGGAGCTGGGGTGCAACAGGGAACTGGCGGTACTTCCACCTTTGAAATATAGCAAGATTGGGGCTCTTGTACATTTGCAGGAGCACGGGAAAAGTGGGGGACTGCTTGTGTCCTGCACTGGCCCTGTGGTCCCCTCAGCGCTTCCACCTTTGAAACGTGCAAGAGCCTGCAGAGCTCTTATACATTTCAAAAGCAGGGAGCACAGGGCCAGAGAAGTACTGCTTGAGTCCCTCACTGGCCCCATGCTCCCCACGTGCTTTGCTTTTGAAATGTACAACAGCCCTGCCAGCTCTAGCTACATTTCAAAGGCAGAGGCATCCTTATCAACTAATCAAATGATTGATGTAAATTCCATCCACTTAAATGGCTCTTAATCTATTTAAAAGGCTGATGCACAGCAGGGGGACCCTGCACAAGCCAGGAATCAGCTGTCCCGTCTCACGCTGGGTCGCTCCTGTTGGCCCCCAATACATTTAAAAAGCAGAGGTGCATCTGGGACTAGGCGTGAGCCAGGAATCAGCTGATTCCCAGCTGGCACTTACCTGGTCCCCTCTACCTCTCGCAGACACGATGCTGGGGGGAACCGGCTTTTAAGATGGCTCCCCTCAGTGCCAGCTCCTGCTCCCACTCCTTGCTGCCACTAATAGAGGCAGCAAGAGGGGGTGAGGAGTGACTAGTTGACTAGTTCCTCGACTATCCAATAAGCTTTTGCCTATCAAATAGTCAACAAGTTAACTAGTCGTTTACATCCCTAGTTAAAATGCTGGTTTATATTAATGTTCCAACTGAAGGTAGCAACAGTGGGAAATCTTAGGCTAGTTCAAGATACAACCAAGGTCAGATTATAGCCTCGTATTCTCCTTTAAGTAAAGCAAAATCTTTCCTGATGCTGCCTAGAGCAGACCTGACATACCTACCCAACCTTCTAATAGTCTCTTCCTTGCAAATGTTAAGAGACACCTGCTGCTGACAGATCTACAAGGTCACAGGATCTAATGTCAAATGTGAAAGGTTAAATTCTTGAACGCATAACAGGGATAGATGAAATTAAGATAGATGAATGAGAAGAATTTCTCTCAAAAGCTAAATTTACATAATCCATCCAATTGCAAGTACATTGTTGGTACTGAATTCTGATAAATCAGCCAACCACGGACCACTCATTACTCCCACAAATTCCAGTTCAATACCCAACCTATCTATCAAGAATGTTAAGAATGAGTGTATCCTACCCTTGCAAGGGAAGGGGGTAAAGTGGGCAGAGGGGGGCTAGCACCCCCAATCCTAGGCCCCCCTCCTCCACATGGCCCTCTCCAATCCCAGGTCATCCAGACACATACAAAATACCCCATGTCCCAGCCCCCACTCACGTATGAGGTACCCCAATCTCCAGCCCCACACATGGCTCCCCCCATCCAGTCACGTACATGGCTCCCCACAATTCCAGCCGCTGGTTCCTGCCCCCCTCATATACGAGGCACCCCGATCCCTCCCCCCTCAATCCAGCCACACACGAGGCTCCCCCCGTCCCAAGCCCCGTTTTAGGTGGCACTCCCCCACCCTGCTCCCACGTGGAAAGCGTCGCCCCCCCTTTCCCGCCTTCCAATGCAGCCCCCACGACCCCTGTCACAGGGCGCGCAGCCCAGCCCCGAGCGCCTCCCCGCCCGTTACCTGAGTCTTGCCCCTCGATTCTGCTCCAGCAACGAGCGCGCGCAGGGTTACCATCGCAACAAGCCCTTTCCCCTCCGGCACCTGTACAGCAGAGCCGCCTTAACACGCCCCCCACCACCACCACAGACCGTTTGCGCATGCGCTGAGCGAGCAGAGGGTGGAGAGGGCCTCAGAATGCGCCAACGCGCTCCCCGTATTGGAAGCTTCAGTGGGCCTCCCCCACGGGCAGCGAGCCGAGAGGCTTCACACTGCAGCCTGCGCATGCTCCCGGCCACTACCTACGGCGGCCGAGTGAGTTCTTGCGCAGGCTCAGAACGAACCGCTCCTCAGGCCGCACGCCCGGGTGCGTTCTGCGCCTGCTCCGTGTGGTCCCTTGCGGTCACCGGGCTGGGTCGTGCGCCTGCGCCGTCGCCGGAGACGGGGTGGGGGCGCAGCCGCGCTGAAGCCTGGCAGCCGGCGATGGCGGCCGTGGCGGCGTTAGGGGCTGCGGGCCCATGAGGCGGCCCAGGCCCCGCAGACTCAGCAGAGCGAGGAAGGGGCGGCCGGGGGCGCTGCCCGCACCCAGGCCATGGCGGGCGTGTTCGACATCGAGCTGGACCAGCCCGAGGACGCGGTTTCGGACGAGGAGCTGGAGGATGGGGTGAGGGGGGAGCCGGCCAGGGGCTATGGCGGGCGGGGGGAGCCGGAGCCGGCCAGGGGCTGCAGGGAGAGGGCCTCGCCGGGGGGCCCCGCGGCAGCACCTGGCGACGGGGAGCTGAGGCGCGGGCCGGGCCGGCGACGGGCTTGCGGGAAGGGCCCGCCGCAGTGAGGGGCGCAGAGGAGACTGACAGGGGCCGGCCTAGCGGGCGGGAGCGGAGGGGCCCGTCTGGCTGAGCTGCTGCGCGCTTCTGTGGCAACGGCTGCGCCGCCCATGGCGGGGTTGCCGCGCCGGGGGTGCAGCCGCAGGGGCTCGCCGGCGACGCGTCACCTGGCGGCAACTCTAGGCCATTGCCGCTCGGGTGGCCGCTCGTTTCACCGCCGAGGTGCCCCGCTCAGGTGACACGCTCCTTTCCCCCTCCCCAAGGGGGGGGTTTCCTCCCGCTCCCAGCTTTTTAAGGGGACGGCTCAGACCTGCCCGCTGCTGCTGCGGGACATTTATGTCCGGGGTAGAACTCAATCCTGTAGTAAAGAAAATACCTTTGAATTGGACCAAGTCTTAAGTAGCTCAATCATGGTTTCTTTTTCGAAGCATAGATTTCTTGAGCGAAGAATGATCAGTGATTACATAATAGCTGACTTGCCATAATATGCCATACTAAATATGAAAATGAATGAAAGGGTTGTTTTACCCTTCTTAGTATATAATTAAAAAAACAGAACTACTTGGTTTTGGATCAAAATAGTTTGAAGTGTCCCACACATTACACTAGCCCAGAAATGCAATTCTGTATTGTAAATGCTATTCTGTATCTATAACTCTTGCTTCTGTGCTAACCTTCATACTCAGAGATGGCATGGTATTTACCAGAGGTAGCTTTTACTTTCCTGGGAAAAATGAATGAGTCCTAGTTTATGGCATTTTCTGCCCTTAAAAACTATTTTGTTAATGTGTACCATATTACACTTAGTTTATATTTTCAAATTGTGGTTATATTGGACAGTATATTCATAGATTAGTATTTACAAATTAAAAGTAAAATTAGTGGTTGTAAAGGTAAATATGCAATTATAACACTGAACATTTATCTGAATGTATACATTTTGATTTAGTATTTTCTCAAGGATGTCATACATGTTATGGTTTATTTCATGTTTCAATAGTGTGTAGACAGAAGTAATACACATTTGATTATATGAAAACAGCAACAATGCAGAGGTGTGGGCTTGAAGCATTAAGCAATCAGAAGTATACAGCATTTCAGACTACCCTTCAGGTCCATTTGGCAATCTAGCATTCTATGGAAGAAAACTAACTTTGATGTAGTGAATAGACAGAGACTATTTCTCCATTTTTGAATGGTGTATCTAGAAATTTGCTGGATACCAATACAATTATTTTTCCCAGATTTCTGATATAAGATGGTATTTACTGTTCCTGTGGCCAAACTACATTTTCCCAGGGAATTTTCAAGCCTGTGAGAAGTGCACAGGTTAGTTGATAGTGACTACTAGGTACAGAAGAGCGATGATTGCTACAGCCTCTCCAAAATAAACTGTGTGTCTCATCTTAAGTCAGGCCTCTATTACTTTGCCAATACCATATTGCTCTTGATACCACTATAGTCTGAAAACAGTTGCTTACAGTATTTTTACACAGCTTGTTTGTCAATATAAAGAATTCCTCTGGCTAACTGTAGCCAATATAATTTCTCACTTTACTGATGTTGCTCCCAGGGTCCGGTCTTGAACCGAAAAAATAGCTGGCTATAAATGTTCCCTATTTCACACCTTGAAGGCTGTTAGCAATCTCTGACAGTCCATGAGAGTGAGCAAATTGCGGTCCTAGAGGTCCCAAAAGTTTAATCATAGGAACTCTAAGAGTTAGAGAATCCTGGTTCATCAACTATTAGGACTGTACTATCTAATAAATGTGGGTATATTTGCAGCACAGTTTCCAGTGGTGTTAATGCCTATTAACAGCAAACTTAGCTTGCAGCGAGGATGAACAAACTTGTAGTTCTGGGAGGCAATCAGATTCAGTTTGACATTTTTAATGTTAGTAACACGGGGGGAGGGGAAGCAAAATAAGACTTTTGAACAGTAAATAAAAGTAGTAACACTGTAGACTTAATATAGTTAAAGCAAAACATAAAAATACAAGAGGAAATGATTGGAGGTGGGAGGATCAACAGGAAAGCATGGGCTTTACTGAAAACTGCCTCTAGGTGGCATAATATGTAACATTGAGGAACATAAAGACATCTAACTGAATGTGAAAGCTGCATTAGACTAGGTAATCTTGCAGTTGGAAAGTTTTCACTCCAAAGAGCTATCCTAGCAGCAGCAAGAGTAAGTGCTGTTACAGCTGTGCCTACAGATACTGCTAGTCTAGGAAATGAAATTCCTTGAATGAAATTATCTTGTTGAACACTGGTCATGTCCCGAGGATGCTGGACTAGAGAGATTCAACCTGTAATAATAGATCTTTATTAATTGTGATAATTTGGAAAAACCAGAGAAGGCTTATTTGTTTAAGAAAAATTTGCTGTAACAGCATTAACATTCAACCTGTGTGGTGTTTTTTTGATAACCAGATACTTTGCTGCAACTATATTACAGTCTTTAATGTGCAGGGCTGACAGCAAGAGCCCCACTGCTGTCAGCTTGGATAAATGGAGTTCTACTGTACTAACTAGTAAAAAGTGTGTTGTGAGCCTCAAAATATGGACTGTACAAAGTATGCCAATTAAAATCAGAATTGCAGTGGAAGCCTAATAGTGAAGGATCTGCAATATCATGAATTAAGTAGGGCCTTGCTTCTTGAATATTTTGCAATATAAAAATGAAAATTGTAACTTTCACACCTGTGTATGACTTTCCTTCTCTAAGTCTTCAGAAATGTCATAGTTAATTCACTGTTGTTTGTTTCTAGTCCTCTTAGTCATTTGGTTCCACAAGTCAGAATCTTTAGAGAGAAGTTTTGTACAGAATAGAAATAATTATATTATGAGTCTTGTTCACCAAAATTCTTACATGGATGTAAAAACAAAAATTACAACACCACTGCATAGTTACAAGGGCTTTCTGGAGTTGGATTCAGTGCTGCAAGTATAAACATAATCGGATAGCTGCAGTTAGCTAAAAAGTAGTGGATCGCATGGCTTTTGTTGTGTCATCTTTGGGAATTTTGTAGCTTTCTTTCAGAACTCTGTGAAAGCTTTGTGAAAGCTTTATGAAAACCTATCATAATTTATTGCGTTTGACTTCTTGGCCAGCGTAGCAGATTTTAGAGCTAAATTAGTTAACCGTGACATGGTTTTGTTTTTAAATAAAAAATACCATTCTTCTTTACCCACTTTTTGTTTATAGTTATGCTGTTATTGTAGTGACTCTCTTAAACATTCTCCCCCTGTACCCAGGGTCAATTAAGTGAAAGCATGGATCATGGAGGAGTTGGCCAATATGAAATGTAAGTTTCTCTTAGAAAACATTTCTATATTATTCATGCTAACTACAAATGCTTTTTTCCTTTTTCCTAATTCAATAGAAAAGTTTATTGGATTTTTAATAGGTATATCTTAACAAAAGAATTCCATGAAGAAATTGATAACAATCTGCTGGTATCTTACATTTTTATGTTATTTTTCCCTTATTTGTGATCAGGCTCATTCAGACGTATTAAATGTTAATAATATAGTGCACTTTTATAAAAGTTAATTCAGAGATCACAAATGACTTTACATGCCTTAAGTTCCTGAATACACATTTAAACATGGCTTTACCCAAAAGCATTAATTTTATGACATGCTTTCCTAACAAGAATCATAGACTCCATTTTATTATACATCAATTTATTACCTGTCAGGGGGCGGGGGGGACGAAGGGTTGGAAAAACTCCATTCGGGTTTGAATAATTTAATTATATATAAAATTTTGCAGCCCCTGTGAAGTGGTATATATTATCAATTTTACAGAAGAGTCTGACAATGATGGAGAGATTCCGGTGTTTGTAAGTTCACAGGGCAAACCAAAGGCAGATAAGGGAATAGAATTCAGAAGTTCTGACTTCAGAGTTGTTTAGACAACATTGCTGCTGTTAAGTCTAATTAAAATTATCTTGGTTGCTTCAGGGCCAAGTCTGTAAATGCATCATGTTGGAAGACTCAATGAGAACATGCTAGTGACACAGCTAAAACACAGTTCAGATTTGTCAGCGTGGATAGGAACAAGCTGTGTTACTGACTTTACGCTACAGCCCTGCAAAGTGTAATGTAGAAACATCTTCTGCTTTGGCAATATTGACCTATATTTTAGTTTAAAGTTACTGTGTCGGAGGTATTTTTTCAAGATAGTAAGACTTTCGTCCTGTAAATATGACCCTACAAATCACACCTGGGAGTCCTATAACTTTTAATGGAATTTATTAACCTAATTTTTATCTTAAGGGTAGCAGCAGTGCTCCTCAATTAACTGAATTGCCAAGAGTGTCTGTTTCAGTCTACAGAAAATGTACACTTTTATAAAATGTCATTTCAGGAAATGCATGGCACTGTGAATCCTAAGAACTTTCTGCGTTATGCAAGCTACCATTCATCACTATACATACATATTAATAGAATTCCTTGTGTTATAATTCTGGTCATCTCCTATGCAGACTATCAGTTTTTCCTTTGCATGACTTAATGCAGGGAAATGTGCATAATTATTCTTTCTTTAACTTGAGTTAATTTTGTGATACACTGTTTTGTCTTATTCAGCGGCATGGAACATTGTGAGAAATTTGAAATTTCGGAAACTAGTGTAAACAGAGGTCCAGAAAAAATCCGACCAGAATGCTTTGAGTTACTACGTGTACTTGGCAAAGGTGGTTATGGAAAGGTATGAAATCTTCATCTTGGAAAATCTATTATCCCATTACACTGGAGGAAATTAAAGGGTTTTCTTGCTGGCTGCTTGTTACATAGCCCAACGCTTATATTCTGTTCCCAGAAAAATTCTGCCAATGCAGATGTAGACAGGTGTTCAATATGAATCACAATTCTTTTTTATTGACAAAGCATTTGATCAGAACTATATTTAGTGACTGTAATCCGTTTCATAGCTTTGCCACCATTTGACAATAAAATAATTTAAAGACTATATTAGAATTCTAACTGCCACTGTGACTTTTAAGGAACTTATTTACCTTGTGTTCTACAGGTTTTTCAAGTACGAAAAGTAACAGGAGCAAATACTGGAAAAATTTTTGCCATGAAAGTTCTTAAAAAGGTAACTTGGCCTTCATTTGACTTTTCTAAATCCAAAAAGGAGGGTTGTCCCCTTTGCAATATACTATATAATATTTGTTCTAATGTGCCAAGATTGAGCGTTTGTCATTAATTTATTAAAACTAATCTTTATATTAATTTAAAATTGGAATATATATTTATCACATTTTCTATAACATTTGTGTTTCTAGACAATTGATCACTTTTTTAGTTTTAACATGTGACTTCATATTTAACAATGCAAGAAAAACTAAGCAGTTTATCATGTTGCTGACTCAAAGTATGATTGTGACAATATGCATAAAATGTCTAGATTTTATAAATTGGGAGTGGGGCTCTACATAGTATTTCTCCTCATTTAGGAATCCTGTATTTTTCACTCTCATCACTTTTCTTTGTTCTTTAGGCAATGATTGTAAGGAATGCAAAAGATACAGCACATACAAAGGCTGAGCGTAATATCTTGGAAGAAGTGAAGCATCCCTTCATTGTAGATTTAATTTATGCCTTTCAGACTGGTGGAAAACTCTACCTCATCCTTGAGTATCTCAGTGGTAAGTGTATTCAGTTTTGCTACACAGGACCTTTTCAGTATCCCTTATTTTAATCTAGAATCTGAAAAGTTCCTATTCCTAAAATCCCTGCTGAATGCTCGTAGTTGACTTAAATTATTCTGCACATTTTCATTATTAATGCGAAACCCATAACTCAGTTTATATAAACAGCATATCAAAACTGATATTAAGAATATCTTTAGGGAAGTAACGGGGATGCACAGATAGCAGGACCCTGGAGACTAAATTCCTGTTCTGACTCCTAGTTGATACTTCCTGAACTAAGTGACTGTTCATCATTTTTCACACATTAACAGCCCTGGATTAAAACAGCTTTCTGCAGAGCATAATTTCATCTTCTGTCCTTTGATAAGTGAAGGTAGCTTTCTAGTAATGGTGAGAAATAAAAAATGAATTTTCAATAGCAAAGCAACAGAAATATGGATTCTTCTAACATCTTACTTTTCCCCTTGTAGGAGGAGAACTATTTATGCAGTTAGAGAGAGAGGGAATTTTTATGGAAGACACAGCCTGGTATGTGAAACAAAATTGGCACTTTTGGGGCTCAGTAGAATTTGAGAGAAATACTTAAGTGATTCATTTTATGACTTAAAACGCACAACTATATATTAATCTAGTGAGTTAAGAGGTACAATGTTGTTGGAGGAGGGGATGATTGTCTGTTTCATTCTTACACTGTTACATTTCTGACCAGCTGAAATGGAATGGCATCACAGTCTGAGATGGGGGTGGGCAAGACAGCCTCCACAGGCTGCA